GTTCAAGTCGCACTTTTTTGTGCTCTCCTCTCGGCGAGGTGGACTCTTCCAGCAATCTTTTGGCTGCTCTTTCCTTCTTTCCAGGACGCTTGGCTGCTCTCTGGTTCCTGGCGGATTTCTTAGAGCTGGTTCCGGCGGCCGTGCCTACTGCTCGGGCTGGATTTTCATCCTGCCCAGTTTCAGCACGACTACTGGTTCCAGCCCCAAGCACCGCAGTAGCAGTAGCTTGCCCAGCTCCCTGAGTCTTGCTCTTGGAAGCAGCGAGCGCGGCTCTTTCTCTGCGGCCTTTTTCTCGCTGCTTCTTATTCTTCTTTTTGACCTTTGCGCTACAGCCTGCTGGGATAGACCCACCTGATAGTGCGTCGGGTCGGCAAGTCACCATTTTGGGTGCCTTGCGCTTCCCCCTTACGGCTTACCACTTGCCAGGCAGCGGAGAAAAGGTCTTCGGTCCTTTGGGGCTCCGCAGGAGTTTTGCTACTCGCGGCCCCTTGCTCATTTTTCTCGTCCAGCTCCTTGGATTTGGAACTGGATTTAGAGACATCCAGCGCGGAAATTGCCCCCTTGGTGGGGCCACCTACGCTGGGTGGTACAATCAGTGGAACGGCCGGTTCAACGGCAGTTCCTTCTGGTTTATCAGTGTCTAAGGTAAACACCTCTGACACTTCTCCTTCTCTACTAATGGGCATTGTGTTGTCCATAGTTTTGACATGTGTAAAAATTCGTCCCCCCGGCTTCCCACCCTCCATGGAGCTCGCACCTTTGGGAACGCCCTTCTTTGGGAACGAATTTCGGGCGTTAGGATTACCGGGGGAATATAGGGACGCAGAGTTGGCTCACAGCGCGACATCGGGAGCTCGATCCAGCTGGCAGATAGGGCTGAAAAAGGCCCATCCCCACTGCCCGAGTTGACTTTCACTTGCCCCGCGCATGGCCTTTACCACCACCTAGCCCTTTTCAGGGAGACTAGGCAGCCCCCACATCCCTCGCCTGCGACCCTCTGACGGGACGCTTGGCCATTTCCTTATCTGTGGCTAGTAGATAAGGCCACCGTTTAGCTTGAAATCCGGACCAAAGAGGGCGTGTTGCCTCTCGACACTATATACCCCAGAAACGATCGGCTCAACCCTCCAGGACTCCTTCATCCCCGCATACGGCGCTCAACTGCGCAGGTCCTAGCGCAGGTGGGTGTGTTAGTCCACCGGATACACCCACTCTCTCCGGCGGAACCGTTCCCTCCTCTTTTCCGGGCTTGGGACCGGCAGCAACAAAAAGCATTGACAAAGTTAGTTGCCCGTGCTTCCTGTTGCAGGCAGAGTTTGAGCACTTAACAGCACCCATGTTCGAGGGCTGTGAGGTGTTTGACGTACCAATGTCATAGCTAACCATGGCTACTTCCAGATTAAAATTATTAATTTTTGTTCCGATCTACTCAGCATGGACTTATAGTATCTTAACGTCGTGCAGTTGTATGCTTGGGATGGGTTGTTCGCGTAAATATAATAAATCATTATATTATAGAGTTAAGTTCGCTTTTCCTTTTTGAACCGCTTTTAGAATAAACCAAGTCTATACGTCCCATATCTAGGTAGAAACATTCTTTAAAATAATTTAATTTTACGATTTTATTATTATTATAAATGTATAAAAAGTCATAAAAATATTCTGTAGAAAAGGAAAGGATCAACTTGATTATCTTAATGCATTCGCGTACCCTGTAAGTAAGTTAATATATAAATTAGTAACAAAATTTCCTATAATTCCTGCGACATCTTAAAATATTTAAGATGTTTCCCTTAACCATAATATATTATATATTATAACCATATAATATATTATATATATATATATATATATATATATATATATATTTCCCTTAACCACCGAGGACTAACATATGCATTTAGTCAGATCAATGGTAATGTTTATGGTTTATGTAATAAGATCATGAACGAAATTTGTAGATAAATACTGCATGAATGAGTTTGTAGATAAATACTGTGAAGAAAAAAAAACAAATCCATAAAATTATCAAAGAAGACCCTACAAAGCGTAATATTCTTATAGCAAACCTTCTAAGCCGTCCAAACAACTCAAATGGAAAGATATCCTACGGAGAAATATTTATTGTAGTAGATGTATCAAAAATCATAGGATCTGAGGTACACATAAACATTGGTGTAATACACTATACCATTCGTCCGATTACGTCGTTACTTTGGTAAGTTGGTAATGCGACATTATTATTTTTAACAAAAAAAAAGGTTCCAACGCATGCCGGGCACACACTTCATTTATATTATAGTGACAAACCGTTATCATAGACTCACGAGCGGAGAGATATTTTTTGTACTAAAACGTAGTAGAGTCCGGCTGTTACATTATAGGTGCGGATTTAGTCACATCGTCCAGAGAAGAACCAAGCCCATACATGTTTCATAGCAGCTTAATCTTGTATGTTCTCGCGAGACGCAAAGCGAACGGACGCTTATGCGAGTAGTGCCGACTAATTATTACGTATAAGTTATTTTTTTTAATAATAATATGGATAATCAAATGGAAACAAAATGTAGTGGGTGCAATGAGTTGATTTTTGATATTTTATGCATAAGTGTTCCCAAAAAACATGTAGAAAAGTGTATAATCATAATATGTGTGTATCAATAACGGCTGAGCAGTACCAAAATTTTACTGAAGAAGAGAAAGGTAAATGGGTTTGTCCAGAATGCCGGTGTAATATTCCGAAAGTAGACAACACCAATACACCGATTCGGGGAGTTTGCGTAATGGCCAAATCGTTTTCACCGTCTTTTTATGTGAACAAAGAACGAAGAGATCGTCACAATTACCGCGAAGTATGTAACGATAGTAGGATTATAGAGGAGATCCGAGAGTTCCGCATGGAAATGATTTCTCGGCTCGACGATCAAATGAAGGAATATAAACGGCTAGAAAAAAGATTTATTAATACCGAAACTGAGCTGCGGGAATTAAAAAATATTATGAAAGTAGTACAGCAAAAAGCAAATAAGGTGGATGAGTTGGAGGAGCGTATTAAAGTACTTACAGAAATAAATGAACGTTTGGAAACTACTTTAACAGTAAAAAATACTACGAAGGAAATATTACAAACAAATGTGGAGCAATTAGTGTCATTTGCTAATATAACGAAGCAGAATAAAAATAAGGTAGTTAAAAATAACGGCCATAAGGAGGGGGTAGTCGCAAAATCACCATCTCATTGTAACAATAGTACGGTATCAATAAGTGAAAAAACGCCGAACCCGAGCTCAAATAATTTTAAAAATTAATCCAAGAAAGATGGTGTGGCCACGAAATCGGCAGAATTATCTAGTGTTCATAAATGCTCAGTTTCAATTAATGAAAACCAAGTTAATTCAGTGTCAGTAAATTCAACTAAGAACGCGAAGGACACATTGGAAAAAGAAGAAAACCTGGACAGTAGTAAAAAGAAAAACAATAGGTATCCTAATAGTGAAGTAAAAAGAGGAGGTAACACGAGTCTATCGGGTATACAAGGTACTGAACGTAAAAAATATTTACATGTCTGGCGACTGAAGAAGGACACTACGAGAGAAAGCATACACATGTTAAAAACATATGTGGGGGCTGAAGTTCAAGTTCAGGTTGAACAAATTAAACATAAGACTGAACGGGATTATGCTTCATTTATAATAGGGGTTCCGGAAAGTCACTATAAAAAGATATGTTTACCAGAGAATTGGGCATTAAATATTGAATTTTGTGAATGGGTGTGGTTTCGTCGATACACCGAAAAACCAAAAAAGCTTTAGGAGAACTATTGAAATTTTTTACCAGAACGTAAGAGGACTGAGAACGAAATTAGATGAATTCTGGGTGGCCGTTGCTAGCTCGAGTTCCGATTTGTTTGCTATTACGGAAACCGGCTTTAGTGAATCTATTCAAGACTCTGAAGTTATTCCACCTGGATACAAAATGTTAAGATGCGATCGCGTAGACGGTCAGAAACAAGGCGGCGCTTGTCTAGTGGCCACACCGCGCTTCGAACTGCACTTTGTACCCATATCGAGTGACATCAACATAGCGTCGCCTTAATTCTAATAAAGCGTATCTCAGAAATGACAACTGTTCAGGATGGTCAAAAAACTGTTTTTATTATTAATAATTCTTTGAAAACACTATAAGTGATGTTCTGAACCAACTATCAAAATATACTAGTATATCTTATTTTGACATTGTAATACAATTTGCTTGTCCAAGTAGCTCAATACCTGAGTTACGCTTTATTAGCATGATTAATTTACTGAGATAATGTTTATTAACAACATTTTTTATTTGTCTACAATTAAGATAATTTAGCACTTAGATTAGTAATAATGGCACTTTCATTAAAATTAGGAATCATCAAAAAGGATCAAACAAAAATAAACTTCTATTAAACAATTAAAAAAACAATCAAAAATAAAATTCTTAGTAGGAATTTAAATTAAAAAAAAAATGCTAACATCAACTTTAACTCTCACTTATTTAATATATAAAATATTTACTTAATCTTTAATCAGTCGTTGCCTTAGGCAAATTGTCGTAAAAAGAATGACAGTCTGTTGGCAAAATGTGTTTTAGATCTTGGAGGTCTTTCCATTTTCTTGGCTTCAGTGGTATTCTTCCTGTGTACATTGGATTAATTGTGTAGGTACCAGGCTTCCATCTGATGGGCAACTCTTGCAAATCATCCGAAAAATTAAGTTTAAATTGAATTTTTCCATCTGGCTCATATCGCAACTGCCGGATGTCGGTGACAGTTGGGTCACCAGCTTTTCTTCCAGGTCGAATGGAGGTGTATCGTTGCAGTACTGAAAAATCTTTGAAAAACTCATGGGAAAGGTATTTTGCGTCATATTTAGGAATTTTCTTCTTTGCATCTTTAGTAAGCTTAACATACTCATGAGGTAGATTTATGTCGTTTTTTTAGTTTTATCTCAATAACGGAATGTACTAAGTCACACTCCATTTGGGTATGGCCCTTTTTCAAAAATTTTTTGTGTGATTACTATGTTTTCTTTCATAGCCAAGTCAAGAAGAGCATTAGCCATGATAGAGTTTCGATTCTGGGCTGTACATCCATCACTAAAAATAACTAGTGGAATAGTTTTAGGAACCTTCTCTTGTATGTAGTCTACTAGACAAGAAGCGAAGTTGGATGCTTGTAGTTCGCCTTCACATTCATGCCACCAATAACAGGTTACTTCGTGAGTTGCTAAGTTGTAAACTGTAAAATTATAACAACAAAGCTTTGTCTTATAATAGACAGCACTAGCTTGAACTTTGGGACAAACCTTCATGCTCTGCAAATCTACCGTAAGTACCGTAATTTTTCCATCAATAGCCAACTTTTTATCAGCTTCTTTTTCTAGTCTTGCAGCCTTTTTCTTCTCAATATGTTTTTTGTAAACCTCTTCTGTCACGTTTTTGGTTTCATAACCGCAGCAAACATCACACCTATCCTTCTTTGGCTTGGTAATGCTTAAATTCAGTTCATCAAACTTGTTAAAAAAAAACAAGCTGATATTGGTTTCACCTTATCGCTTGCGCATTTTTCCTTGTAAATGTTGTATACATGGCTTTTACTTTCGAATACTGGTTCAAGATATAGTTTTGTTGATGTACTTCTACAGTAATGTGAGGGTAGCTTAGGTATTTCTTCAAAAAACTTTAGCAGATGTTCAGCTTGACTGATTCCACTGGAGGTTGGTGTCTCAGTAGATCTTTTTTTTGCCTCTGTTGCTTTTTTGCTTTGTAGTCTCAGTTAATGAGATACCCGACTTTGCTTCTGAAATCCAGGTAAGAACCATGCGTTCTCTGATTCCTAAAGTATTCAGAAACATTTTTTTGCAGACTTGGTTTGTTTCCTCATTCAGTTTTAGATAGTATACATAGCTTTGTTGTCTTTTATGTGAATCAACTGTCTTTTGTTTGATTGGGATCATGTCTATCATTGAAGAAACAAAACTTTTCTTCCCTGACCAATCGAGCTCCTTCCAAAAGTTATCAAAAATAAATTGTCTGTCATGCTCTCCGAACTCGGAGCAAAACCGCTTGGCGCTATTTTTGCAGAAGTTAGAGTCACATGTTGGACCCATCTGCCTTTTACTTCTTTGTATACCTGTCGTAACCCGTTTTTCCTTTCTGGAATATCCTGAATAACTCTCTCCCCCGCATTCTCTTTTCTTTCGTTATATTTCTTTGCCATTCTGTACAAGTAGCATGTTTTCTGCGTTTGGGCTTGTTCTCTGGTACTTCATTGTCAATTGTTTCAAGTCCAGATTCATCCAATTCTACGACTCCAATTGTTTGACTATCATTAGTAGTAAAATGCGTGATTTCCATTTCACTGACACCTTCCGAAGCTTCGCATATTTTAATAATATCATTCGATTTAGGGGCACCTTCATCAATCCCGGTAACAGAAAATGTGTCTTCAAATTCAAAGTAATGAACCCAAGTTCGACGCTTGTACATCAACTTCTAAAGGGGATTCTTTTGGGCACTTCAAGGAAGGATCAGATCCGGCTGCTATATTAATCGCATGAAGGAGTTCGTTGTCTGGTTTGTATACTAAAATGTTCTCTAAAATTTGTGTCCGGCTCTGATGTTTTTTCTTAGGATTCGTTACTTTTATTCCATTCTCTGCTAATATTTGAAGGATTTCCTGTTCCTCATCATCTGACTGCAACAAATCCATTTTGATGATATCTAAAAGCAATGACAAAAATCCATGTGAATAGGTCGTATTTCAAAGGCAAACTATAAAATTTAAATTCGAATAGGTCGTATCTCAAAAGGCACTTTTAAACTCGTAATTATTATATTATAAGTGGTTTTCCACAAATGAAGTATGTTTTAAAACAGTAAACAAATGTCAAATAACAAAATAAAAACGATTTCATACCTTGGCAGCTTCTAAAAACAATCACACATCACTTAAATCGCAGAGCAACCTGCGCGATGTCGACAAACTATGGTGACTCAATGAGTTAATGCATATTCGCAGAAAGATCGAGCGATCCGAGATACGTCGCATTACGTCAAGTCTTTTATCTCACTCTTTTTCATACAAACTTTGCAAAGTAAAGAAAGAGAAAGATGTACTTTGCCGCCCTTATTCAAAGCACACAAAAATGTCGGTTTCGTTCAAAATTGAGATACGACATATTAGAATTAAGGCGACGATAGATTGTCGCGTATTTGAACTGGTTTGTGCTAGGGTATATTTAAGAGAAAGATTTACATTTTTCATATGCGTTGTTTGTATTCCACCAGTTAGTTGTGATAACGAATACATGTTATTATTTAAAATAATCGAGCAATGTTGTAAGTAAATACAGTAAAGTACTAGGAGATTTTAATTTATATTCATACTCTACTGCTATACGTAATTACTATGAATATTTTGTAACATACTGTCAGTTTTCTCAGACCAATAGAATAGGAAATTGTAATGAACGACAATTGGATTTAGTGTTAAGTACATTTGATGGTGAGGAATCGGTGAGGGTGTATGCGGCTGATTTGGAGCTTGTGCTAGTGGATGCGCACCATCCCCCGCTTGAGGTAATAGTGTGGTTGCAATCCGCCGCAGACGAAACCTCTTCTGCGCAGGGCCCCATTGACAGCGAATGCTACGAGGTACCCGCTTGGAAGTTTAGCAAAGCTAACTTTCCTCTCTTGTATAAAACTATAGAGGAAATAGACTGGTCTCCAATATATGGTCTAGATTTAGAAGCAAGCCTTGATTTTTTTATTGTACTATAAATAATATATTAGATAATTGTGCACCTAGGTGTTGGCGCGACTTCTAACGCCGCCTAGCGACGCACCGGAACACCAAACTTTTAGCTACGAATCAGAGCTCGTCATTGTTAGCAACCAATCACAGCACGTCGTGCAATTAGTTATAAGATCTGTCTGTTTTAAATTTTGATTATTACCTGATACACACTGTTAGCAATAAGACGACTTAAATATAACCAACAAACGTTCAATAAATCAATTCATTGAAGAGCACCTGCCTCCTGTTCCTGTACATAAAGTGGTCCTATCGAGCCGAATAAGGAGTTCAAGCTTGAAATCTCCGAAGATTCGTCGCATCAAAATACGAAGAGGAGATTCACGTATCGAGCGAAGAGCTGCAACGTTAAGGCATCGACAGACAGGAGTGGCAGGTTTGAACTTCCCGTCCGTTTCTCCATCTCATCCTTCGATAGGTGTTGATTTCGTGCTGATATTCCATTTCCAGTGCTGAAGTGGCGGTACCTACCTGCGCAACGGCACCCACCTTCGTTCGCACGCATATACAAATTGGCAACTGTAAGTACTCTTGATTTCCTTAAATCCCAAAATGAGTGAGCCCAAATTGTCAGATTTAATTAAGAAAAGAGGAGTTTTAAAAGGTCGATTAACTCTGTTTGAAAATTATGTTAAAAAGTTCACTTTACCCTTGACTGAACAACAGTCATTAGAATTAAATTTACGTGTAGAGAGTACTTCGAGTTTGATAGAGATGTATAGTGAAATACAGACTAAAATTGAAGAAGAGGTAGCGGAAGATCTCGATCTTGTAAAACAGCTGGAAGAGAGAGATCGTTTCGAAAATCAATTTTATCGTACTGTAGCTTCTGCAAAACTTTTATTGAGAAAGGAAGTAGCTGACAAGTCTAGTGTTTCAACATGTAAGCCGATAGGCATAAAGTTACCCGATATTAAAATACCTTCCTTTGACGGTTCATACGATTGCTGGCTAGAGTTTAAAAATTCTTACGTTAGTATGATTCATGATCGCGATGATTTAGGTCCTGTTCAAAAATTTCATTATTTAAAATCGTCATTATCCGGTACCGCGGCACACGTAATAGGTGCATTAGAATTTACGGCTAACAACTACTATCACGCGTGGGAGCTATTAGAGAATAGATTTAATAATCCGCGACTATTGGTTCATAATCATGTGAAGGCATTATTTAAAATTCCATCGTTAAATAAAGAGTCCGCTTCCCAGATTAGGAACTTAATAGATATTGTTTTGAGAAATTTGCGTGCCCTTAAAACGTTAGGTGAACCAACAGATTCATGGGACACTTTAATCATTTACATGGTCGTTTCCAAATTAGATCAGGCCACTGAACGCAAATGGGAAGATTTTCAAGGTACAGCTAGTTCGTTAATTGAATCGAGGTCAGCTTTGAAACTGGATGACTTACTTAAATTTCTTAAGGACCGCGCCGACGTTTTAGAAATGATAAAAGTCAACCATAACAAATCCCACGAGAACAAAGGCGGCGAACAAACGCGCTCTAAGAAACAATATACACATACTCATGTTGCTACGAACGTTACTAACAATAACAATAAGGGTAATACGAAACTAAAACAAAGCCGCGTGTGTGTGATGTGTCATGGTAATCACGCGATTTATTCCTGTTCAAGGTTTCTTAATTCGTCTATCCAAGAAAGGAATAAGATAGTTAAAACGCATCAGCTGTGCATCAATTGTTTACGCGCAACCCACCCACTTGACGAATGCAAGTTTGGGCCATGTAGGTTGTGTGATAAAAGGCACAACAGTTTGCTTCATATTGATGGGCAGGTAGACGGCGCATCACAGGTGAGCGAGTCGAGTGCATCAGCACAGCCGGTCACCGCTAACGTCTCCACTGTCTCGTCATCATTACACGTTACGGCTAACCATTCAGAATCGCAAAACAGTAATCAGGAATATTCGTTATTACCCAACGTTTTGCTGTCCACAGCGTTAGTGGACATAGCAGATTATAATAACAAATATCACACTGTACGCATTCTGCTTGATAATGGTAGTCAACATTGTTTCATAAAGAAATCGTTATGTGAAACATTAAATGTACCGTTAATACAGTCCACTTATCACGTTGCTGGGGTAGGTCAAACAATTTCGCAGTCCACCCACATTTGTAAAATAAAATTACGTTCAAGGTTAAATTCGTTTTGTATGAACATTGATTGTTTAGTGTTGCCGTGCATTACAAATCAATTACCCACATTTAGTGTCGATGTAAATAATATGAGTTTACCTGATAATATTCAACTTGCGGATCCGAACTTTCACTCACCGTCAGACATCGATATACTGATAGGCGCGGATAAGTTCTGGGAATTATTGTGTGATGGCAAAATTAAGTTGAACAAAGGACCTTATTTAGAAAATACAAAATTGGGTTGGATAATGTCGGGACCTTTACGTAATAACCCACTTCCCGTTAAGAGTGTGCAATGTAATTTCTCCCAAACAATTGACACACAGTTGAAATTGTTTTGGGAACTCGAAGAGATAAACAATAACGTTAATAAAAACATCCTTAGTGCTGACGAACGTGCGTGCGAAGACATTTTTGTCAAAACGACAAAACGTATGGAAGATGGTAGGTTTTCCGTACGCATTCCTTTAAAGGAATCAGCTGATGTGCTCGGAGACAGTTACACAACGGCTGAAAAACGTTTGTTGTCGTTAGAACGAAAATTTGCTCCTTCGCCACAATTTCGGGAAAAATACGTAGATTTTATGGGGGGAATATGAAAGGCTCGGTCATATGAGTTGCGTTGAAACTTATGAGTCACCCCACTATTTTTTGCCGCATCACGGCGTTATTAACGAAAATAGCAGTACGACTAAACTGCGCACTGTTTTCGATGCAAGCGCAGCGACGTCGTCCAGTAAGTCGTTGAACGATATTCAACATATTGGTCCACCACTTCAGAATGACATTTTTAGCATTTTATTACGCTTTAGGCAATATAAATACGTGGGTTGTGCGGACGTTGAGAAAATGTTTCGGAATTTTCTTGTTCAACCAGATCAACGAGATTTACAATTGATATTATGGCGTAAACTTCCGTCGGACCCAATACGTGTATATCGCCTAAACACCGTGACGTATGGCACTGCGTCTGCGCCATACCTTAGTATGAGATGTTTACGTCAGCTTGCGTTGGAATGTAAGGATCAGCAGGTTGCGAGAGTAATCCGAGAGGATTTTTTCGTTGATGACGTCATCCTAGGTGACAATAATTTAAATAGCTTACTCGATACCTGTGAGAAGTTACGAAATACTTTAAACTCGGCTTGTTTACCGTTGCGTAAGTGGTTGTTTAACGTTGATATCAGTAACCACGATATATCTAAAGATTTGTCATTAGGAGAACATTCCCAAACTAAGACTTTAGGAGTGGGTTGGTATAATAAAAGTGATGAACTTCATTTTACCACACGAGTAGTTAGACCGAATTTACTAAATAAACGTACAATGTTGTCGATAATCGCACAAATATACGATCCTCTAGGAATTTTAACACCGGCTGTCGTAGTAGCTAAAATATTGATGCAAAAAGTGTGGTTGTGCAAGATAAATTGGGATGATCCCGTTCCCAGTGATGTTGCTTTATCCTGGGAAAAATTTATTGACACACTTCAATATTTGCATAACCTACGTATTCCGCGTCATGTTATGAGCGCACACACACAGTTTATAGAATTACACGTATTCACGGACGCGTCGCAGAGTGCGTATGGTGCATGCGCATATGTTCGCACCTACTCTGATGACTCATCGGTGACTGTTAGATTATTGTGTGCAAAGAGTAAAGTTGCACCAATTAAACCAGTCAGCATACCCCGACTAGAACTGTGCGGGGCTTTAATAGGCGCATGAT